GATCGGACCATCTCCGCGCTCCGACGGTTCTCCCGCGACGGCTGATCGGGAATCTCGTCGGTTCGTGCGCGAAACGCGCGTCAGTTCGAACAATGAGAATCGCTCGCGGCTTTTTCTCTTTTTTATTCGCGGGAAATAACGTCGTTCTCTCTATTTGCGCATCGATATACAGGATGTGTTTGACGGTAGCTGGGACGACGCTCGTGGACATGCACATTGACAGAAAAGATATCTAAGAAATGAAAGATACTTATTCGATAAATAGTAATGATATATTTACATATACTTACGCTAATGTAAAATATCGTTCAAATAAGATGAAATTGGTTACTGATAAACGTGTTATTAACTGAGAATTTCACGTGATCTTTTGAAAAATGGTGGAGGAATTTTGTGTTCACTTTGACTTATGACATGTACACGAGCGTTTTTCTATCTATCGTCAGATACTTTTTATAAATATCTGGATGAAGCGTGTACATAATCCGATATAATAGCGGATATAATAATGAACATTACTAGACTTACGATAAAATTTTTCGTTCACGCACAATGTGTGCTCACATATTCGTGCATTATGATTCCTGATTATTCCGAGGAAACAATAATGTTACGCTGAGATAATTTTGACACTGACAGTTTCCAATTTATACAAGACAGGTTGCTGTTCGAAAGCGAATAAACTGTCATATCGGGACGTTCTGATAATGAAGGCTATGAAAAATATTTTCCCGTGTGTATTGATTAAGGAGAGCTTTGTTCATTAATTCATGCGCAGTTGGAGCGGAGATACCCGGGTAAATTCACTCGCTCTTTAATGACGATGATCTCTCTCATATACATTGGAGACTATCAGTGCCAGTTATTTCGAGCCAACGTTGTCGCTTCCTTGGAATAATCAGCAGTCATGATGCATGAATATGTAGACACATTGTGCGTGATCAGGAAATTCGATTGGAACTAGACCTAGCAAATGTTAAGGCTATTATGCCGGATTGTGTGCTATCAATTAAGCCAAAGGGACTGTACCAATCTCCTGCAAGCGGAAATTTACGGTATTTCGGGTCGTTCGTGTTGACTCATACGTGTATTTGCTTGCTTTGTGCACGTCTTACAACATATTGACACGTCACAATAAATTGACGCGGCAAATCCTTGCAAAACTTGAGTTCGTTCGTCATGATTCCAGCTCGTAGAAAGCCGACTATGGAACTACCTCAAGTGCCGTAATTTTCCCCTTACAACTAATTAGACCTTCTCCTAGTACAATACCCCGTCCAGATATTCATATCCTGGTGCGTTCGACGCCGTCAAATAAGCCGATTTAACGACAAGTGTCGCCGTGAAGGCAATTAAACGGAACCATTATTGGCGCAAGCGACGTCGTCTTCCGCATGAGGCATTCGCGAATTCTCCGTTCAACTCGAGGAGGGAATTCTCCTCCACTCGCTTGAGTGCGCCGGGCAAAAGGTGGTCGCCGGGGTTGACAAAGCCCTGACCATTTCTTCGTGGCTTCTCGTCTTCGGTACGACGACGTGTCACCGCCACCGTGAAAATGCGGTTCATTACATCTCCGGGGTGTGGGGGCGCGGGGGGAGTTGTTGGGTGGGCTGCCGTTGAATGGAGGGAAAGGACGAAGGCGTTGACAAATTGCAGTGACGTTGTTGACGAACGGCGGGTAGAACGGCTGGCCGGCGCGCCTGTTCTGAATGAAACCAAGACAAAGTCGCGTTCTTCCGCCTCATTCCGCTGCCGCCGCCGCCGCCACCGCCACTCCCGCTAACGTTATTTCCGTCATTTAAATAGCCGTGGCGAACCGTCCTCGTTTCAGTCGTCGCTCGGTCGCATCGCGATTAATCGCAACGTTAATTGAGACGAGCTATAGAGCTCGCTCCGGACGATCCATAATTCGCGACAGCATTCGGAACGGAATCCCGTTCGCAATTTTATCGCGTCGCGCGACACGGCGCAAACACGGCCAGATTTATGGACGCGCGTACATTTATAAGTTGAGACTCCTGGTCCCCAGCTGCAGAATTAATGCGACATGGAACCTTTCTCTTTGACCTATCATTTCTCATGATTTTGCCACGTTCATTTTATGGCTATTTATTGACTGCCAGTTGAACTGTCCGGCCGAATTGTCAAAAGGGAGCAAGATGTAACGAGGGGGAGGGAGTAGAATGCTCAGGTTTTATGTAGCTATATTTTTTAGCTCTCTATTCAGAGTTCTAGAGAGTTCTAATTATGCAAAATTTGATCGCTTAAAAAGTATACGGAATACACAGAGACATATATTCTATTTTACATATACAGAAAGTGTCTGACGATGACATATACTTATTTCGTGTATGTGCAGATTAAGTCAAGCTGAAGAAAAAATTCCTCTATCATTCTGCGAACAATCATGTAAAATTTTTAGTTATTAATTAAAGAAGATTGGTGAACGATCGAATGCTATAGAGGCGGAATGCCTGGACCACTCTCCTTTAGCTAATTACCGCTCGACGCTCGCCTAATGCAAATGTTACTCTACTTGAGCTGTGGCCAGATGGGGTGATAGGTTAGGTAGGAGTAGCGCGATCATTAGACACTTTACATGTGTGTTCACAAGCGATCTGTTCTTTCGTACAAATATCTCCTTTATTTGGAAATGGTACGCAAGAATATTCAGCGTGCATCGTTTTTTGCGTTAGCTTGCGACGTCGCAACCCCACATGGCCGCGGTGATCGCGAGTCTTAAGTCGCGAGGAGCTTCCCCGAACATCTTTCTACGAACGTGAAACGCCAAATTCCACGGCGAGTCGCGCAGATCACGGGCGCGCGTGATCCGCAAATTAGCTCAAGATGAATGGCGCACGGTGACGGCACGTTAGGACGGTAGGACTGGAAAGCAACGGCATTCGTCGATTTATTAATTCGCGCGCCGTTGATAAACCGCCGGCGGTGGAGTCTTAATTGCGTCACGCCACTGTGCGATAGCAACATTGCCATATTCATCGCCGACAATACAGCGATCGTGACTCACCGACGACACGTTGCTATCCGTGGCGGACGTGTGTACGCGCGGCGTACGCTATATTACGTTTAGGTATTGCCGCGCGGACGATGGCGTGCCGTGCAAGTCACATAAATATCTCGCTAATTGTCCGCCGTGAAATAAATCCTACTACGTGGGAACGTTTGCCCCAATACTTACACCCGCGCGCGCGCGCATGCACACACGCACGCGCAACCCCTACAACCAGCACATTCGCCGTGCACACTCGTGCGTACAGACGCGCACGCGTGCATGCGTGTGCATTGTAATCCGGATGCGTCGTGTAATGGTGCGTACGTAGCGTGCATCGCATGATGTATATACGCCAGCCGTTGTAAATCTGGCGACACGTGCGCGACTGTACGCTCGCGCGTCTTCCAGTCACACGGCACACAGGCGTCGCGCGTTTGTCGAACATACGCGTAAATCGAATGTGACCGAGGTATACGTACATGCGTGCATGCATGCGTGCGTGCGTGGATGGGTGAGTGGGTGAGTGCATACGTGCGTGTGCGCGGTCAGCTTCGCGCGCGACTTCGAAATCCGAGCGCATACCGGGCGCGCGTCCGGGCGCCGATTTCTGGAAAATAGCATTTCGCAATGAATGCTTGTAAACGAGCGCGACGCGGCCGTAATTCGTGCGCGGGATAAAATTTCTCGCGGCGTTAGGGAACATCGTTCCGCGCGAATCGAGCTTCAGGCGGGCGTGTTGCTCCATATGCAGATTCTGAATGTGGAAATGTGCTGATCGAGGAAGGGACAGAGAGAGAGAGAGAGAGAGAGAGAGAGAGAGAGAGGGGGGAAGAAGGGGAGAGGAACGAGCGGGGAGAGACGCGAAGGGCATCGGTTGAGCAACCGCCAAAATGAAATTGTCGACGGTCATCGGAACGAGCGAGCTAGCTATAATAATCGATTTCCATGCGAGCAACCGAGCGCGCGGAGGAGCGACGTCGCGGCTGATTCGTGGGGACGTTCCATCCGAAGCGTCGGGAGCTGCAGCGCGTAAAAAGCGACGCGCTCTCGTCGCTGTCGCTGGCAATTAATCGCCTCTTTGAGAATTCATGTGACGCCCGTCGCTACGACGAGAGAGCAGTTAATTCCACGTCGGATTCGACGGCGTAATTAGAATTTCGGGACTCACTGATCGCCCCTCTTCGTTAATATTGGATTCACTTATCGGAACTTTTTTCCTAGGGTTCTAGTACAATCTGCGAAAATTATCTTAAATATATATTACCAGTAAAGAAATTATGAATTTTGTAAATATCAGCGACCGACTTTCTGGCAAGCTTGTATGTAACTTTCATAAATTGCGCAAGGTTTTTGACTCGCGAGTTAGAGTCGCGCTTTTTGCGAATTTGTTCCCAACGTTTCGTGAACATTTCAGTTCATCAAAGAGAGGAGCGATCTGATACTATCAGCATATGTTTACGAAACATTGAAAGCAAATTCATGCAAAATGCAACTCCAAACCGGGGAAACCAAACCTGGCATTTCTTCAAATCGCACAAGTCTCAGATTTCGCGAATTATAATTGAATGTAAATGTAAGCTACAGAGACTCTTTTGAAACCTGTAAAAATTTAAAGAGCGAATTTCGCGACACGGTCGGGAAAATGAGATGGAGTCGCGACGCAGCGTTGGCGGACGGAAGGGTAGTTATGGAAAACGTAAATGTGCTCACCGTCCTCTTAGACAACGCGGCGCGCGATTCAAATAGTTTCTCGAATACGTCGTATTTTATTTACTAGCGTAACCGTGCTTTACTTATCGACGCGAATAAGCGAGCACCCGGAGCGGTATCGACGTTATACTCGATAAAACGTTCTCCCGCGCCATTGAAGAACGCGGAGAAGTTTGACATTATTAACATCTGATATTACGGGCCGGACTGGCCGCCGGAAAAGTAGAACGACCTGGATACACAAAGTAGCTCCGACGCCTGTCGCCTTTTATATTAAACCCGGCGATATTGAGCGCGGGTGGTGGCTCTTCTCTTAAAAACCCAGTCGCGAGTTTCGCTCTTATCGCCCGCCGAAATCTCGTCTGAAAGGAGATGACGCGGCCCGGGCGGCGGAAGGAGTCGCAGCCCGTCGGCCTTTTCACCGTTCGGAATGACAAAGAAGCCGCTGCTATCCGTCACGAGGAAAACTTCTTCACGTGACAAGAAAACGCCGACCGTGTGCCGGTGCATGTCGTGACGACAACCGCTGCCGCCGTCGTCGCCGACGAATACTCGCTGGCGAATTCTCGTGTGAGTTTACTTTCTCATTAACCTTCCGCTGGTTGCGGCTGTTTGTGGAACAAAACTGAAAATTGCAGTCAACATTTTATTGATTGAAAGGAGAAAACAACATTTATATGAAAGAGCTTTGTGTCAATCTGCACAATTTTAGGTGGCTACTTTTTATAGGAAGTTAAAAAAATATGGCGTCTAGCACACTCTAACCTTCATTTTGCGTCGTATTCAAAATAAAGCATCTCAAATATCTGTGACTATCGGAAGGGCTATCGGAAGTAGTACAGTTTGCGAAAAGTATTTTAGACATATATTATCTGCAAAGAAGTTATGAATGTTGTAAATCAGTGACTGACTTTCTGGCAACTCTGTGTTACTTTTATAAATTGTGCTGGGTTTTTGGCTTGCGAGTTGGAGTCGCATTTTTTTTGTGAATTTGTTCCCGACGTTCCCTGTGAGTATATCAGTTCACTTCATCAAGGAGAGGAGTAATCTAACGTTATGTGTGTATGTGTTTACGAAATATTAAAAGCAAATTCATGCAAAACGAGACTCCAATCCAGAAGCTTGGCATAATTCTAAGATATCGAAACGACATTGACTATTTCTATTAGATTGGTGCAAAATATTTTTCATTTCTTTATTCTGGCTTGTAAGAAATTGCAGTTATTAACTCTGATACAGTAATAATACACTTATTTGATATATTAGACGTATATTATCAAAGATTCTACTTGAAACTTAATTAAGTTGAATGAACGTTTCATTGAAGTTATTCTTGTGACGATGGGATACATCAGATTTATTCTTTAATTACTTTAATTTCTTTAATTTAAATTAAAGAGATTGAAAGATGATCATTTGACGATTCTAAGTGAAGAATTCATCTTGGAATGAAAAATAACTCGAATGACTCAACTGTCACCTTGCATTTCGAGTTAAATTTCTTTCCAAGAAATTTAGAGACCACTAATCTGATATTTTACATCCACCGAATATTCGTTGAACATTCGCGTTCTTTCTCTTTCTCTGTTTATTAATATCTCACATGGAATGTGTGCAGAGTCAGTGACACGTAGTGTGCGATATAAGTTGGCAGTGGTCGCATGCATTAGTCATCGCGTTGATTATTTCACGACGAATGACGTAGTTGACGCGCATAAAATATTGAATTCGGCCAATCACTGGTCCGTCCGTATGTCGACTGATAAAATATCCGACGCTCTCAGTAACGGTCTTATAAATATATACTAGTGTCGTGAGATCGCGACATTACGAAGGCATTGTCGATTGTAAAGCGAGGAGAATCGGCCGAAAGGAATCGAGTTATAGAGAAGAGTCGCGACTGGCGAGGTAGACAGGGTGGAAACGCGCGTGATTATGCATCGGTCGCGTCGCGGAAGGGTTGACCTAAATGTGTAACTAGCGACCGGAGGACGGAGTGACGCGTGTGCCACATCGATACGTCGATATATCGGCTGCGATCGCCACTTGGCGAGAAGGATGAAGAGACCGCGGCGAATTGTAGGGTTCTTGTGCTCTCTCTCTCTCGTGTATATATGTATGTATGTATGTATGTACGTATGTATGTATATACATATATATCGGTGCCGCGAGACTCGGCTCGCTGGTAGGCTCACAAAAAGCCATTGTTGCGCACCGACCAAGTTTTCCCTTCGCGCTCTTAGACGATACGCGCCCTTCTTTCCCGCTCGACATCGTGACATGAATAACCCGCCTTTGTGTCAAACTTGGACCGATCAATCTGACGTCGACGCCAACGTCGCGCCGCGGTCCCATTTCCGGAGCTCTCTGCAGGTATCGACGAGAACACGTAAATTATTACCGACACTGTGCAGACACACGAACTCTTTGAACGGCTCGCGTAGTCCGATGAATCGGCCGGGGGATGGGGTGATGGCAGCCGTGACGGACTGAATAGAGCGATAACATCACCTTTTAGCGCGTCGCGGACCAATGTCTTGTACGTCGAGGCGAAATAAATATTTCGCCCGGCGCGGATTAATTATTTAATACTCCGCGTAACACGGCTTTCCCGCGCTAAGCGGAATTTGCGCGCAAAGCAGCCACGAGACGCCGGCTATTAAATTTCATCGCCGCCGGCTAATCTGTCGCTTATCTCGAGAACGTATTGCGGCCCGCCGGAAAGTGCAAGAAGTAGCGCATAAATCACATCTTACGAATCGGCCCGCTGTATGGGTATTATTAAGTAGAAGTGACGCTGATGCCGTTTATACGTGCGTGTGCGCGCGCGCGCGTGTACACGCAACACACCCACACACTCGCGCGCGTACGGATACGTCGCAACGGTACATATTGCATGTACTGCAAGCCGGTATTATGGGCTTGTGTGCTTCCTGCGGTACCCGACGTCCCGCGTGAATACGTGAAAGTCTAATGCCGCATACTGGCGGCATTGTGTGCGCGCGGATGCATACAGTGTCGGGAAACGCAGGTAACCCCTCCTCCCCTCCCCGCAGTATACTCGCGCCCGGCGAAGATGCACAGCCGCTACTGTCACGCGGCTTTCCTTACAACGGCGAGCAAAGCACTTCAGAAATGTGTTTATGGTGACAAATGCGTAACGATATTTCGTGGCGCGGCGCGACTTACCGAAAAGCGCCGTTTGTCGCGAGACAGCGCGGAAGAATCGTGTCGTCACCTGGAGCTTTGTTCGAGCAAATTCATTTTAACTTCGTTAAAATCGTAGCGCGCACACGGTCCAACCGGAAATCAGCAAATCGCGTAGGATGCGAGAGAGAGAGAGAGAGAGAGAGAGAGAGAGAGAGAGAGAGAGAGAGAGAGAGAGAGAGA